CGATCAGTATCGGGCTCTATTGGGTAAAAAAAGGTAAACGGTAGGATTTGTTGTTAGAACACTGTGTTCTCAGCTTGTTCTCATGGTGGAAAGGCAAAAATGTAAGTAAGACAACCTCTGGATGCATCTACCTTGCAGGGATCCTACCTTCCTACTGCCAGACACTCACACCACCCCTTCTGGGCTTTGTCATCTGCACTCTCCCAAAAGTGCCACCGTGCCCACAGTTTGATGGCTGAAGAATTGTCTTCAGTGGAGCTGGGATTGGTCCCTTCACTTCACCAGATGTCAATTCAGAATAAGAAAGGGATGGAGCTAGCGCAGAGGGCCGAAGACAGGACTGATGTGCCTGTGGCAGCTTAACACTGCTGTAGCTGGTACCACAGGGGACTGGATGCCACCTCACCAGCCAGGCACTGAGAGCAGAGACACCCCAGTCTGGCAGGTGCGGAGGCCCTGGGAAGAAGAAAGCTGCAGGAAAGGCATTTTCATCCTTTGGCAGCATTTCCAGCAGGCAGTACTGCAAGCAATTGTACCATAAAAGGCAGGAGCAATGTGGGGAGGGACATGGGGATGAGGAAGGAGGGGTTTCTTGGCCATATCAGGGACCATTTTTGCCAGTTCTGGCCTCTTCAGAGCAGCAGCCTGACGTGCTTTAATCCTTGTGCCTCTTGGGGTCGTGCCAAAGATGTTTCTGCTCTCGGCCCTGTCTCTGCACAGCTCTCTGCACACCCTGGATCGGTGCACAAGGAGCAGCCGGGTGCCCGCTCAGGCAGGGCGAGAAGAAGGGGTGTCCGAGAACCTGCCGGGGATGGAGGCTGTGACAGCAGGGAACTGGGGTGCTCTCAGGTCTGAGCTGTTTGCAGGTAGATAGATTGCTCTGTGCAGTGATAAAGGCCAAGCACATCAGGTTAAGTAATAGGTATAAACACACCCCACTTCCCTGTTCTCCCAGCCCTGGGCAATATTTTAACCCATTCTCTCCCTGGATGAGTGCATGGAAGAGGGAATGGGTAGTGAGCCGTGCAAAGTGAACATAAACCTCTTACCAAATATTCTCTCGTTCTCCCCTTGCTGAAAGTCTAAAGTGCACTGTCAGTCAACAAAAGACTGAAATTTAGTTTTCATCAACCGACAGGCCAGCACAGACTGAGACCTCCAGTGTTAGCCAAAAGCAAACATTAAAGGGCAAAGTCGGAGCCAGGCGGATTTGTTTGCAGAGCCCAGTGACTAAGGTCTCCTCAGCAGGTTTTGGGTATGTGAGTGTGTCAGCAGGTGATGTGCTGGCTGGCAGAGGCAGCAGCAGCACGTCAGGAAGGTCGCGGGTGCCGTGGGAAGGCTGGCAAGGGAAGGAAACATGACACACAGCCCACAGGAAGGGAAGAGATTGCTGGAGGAGAGAGGGCA